ACTAACGCGATCGTTATAAAGATGTCTAAACAACAAAACCCATCCACTTGCACATATTTGACAATCGGAATATCAGTGTTTCATGATATAGCTAATACATTTTTGAATATTTTTAATAAAAAAGGAAAAATGACATAAAAGCAGATCATCATTCATTCCGCGCTCTGTTCTGGTTGTGCTGTGTCACGTGACAAGCAATGACGCGTCACCATGGAAACATTAAAGTGGCAAGTTCTAAATAACGGTCGCCTTGAAAAACTCACGCTGGGGGGTCAGTTAGAATATTTTAAACTTACGTGTGAAAGGGTTAAACATCGGTAGATGGCGATCCCGGGCCGTCATACAACTGACGTTTTACCTTTAACGTCAGTTAGGTGACGGGTTAGGTTTAGGGTTAGGTTTAGGTATGGGGTAGAGTTAGGATCCCATAACCTCATCTACCGACGTTTAAGGGGGCCCTAAAAAGGCGAATATTGACGTATGGTCAAAAGACGTCCCAAAACGTCAGTTATATGACGTCTTGGGATGAGACCGGGTTGCAACAGATGAAAACAGATGAAAAGTGATTCGCTATTTTAAACAAAGAGGGAAGAGCTGATAGATATTCAGATTGTATATATGATAGATATGTCCTGCCCTGTCTTCCTGTTTCAGTGGAAATAACATCAACACTCTGAATAATGCTGCATGTTTTGAGGCACTTCAGTGGGCCTTTAATGCTACATACTCACCACCACACTGCTAACAGCAGGCTGAGTACTTGTCAACTCTTAAAATAATTAAATTCAATCATAACCCATCGCACCAACCTTATAAGTCATCTGTATTAATCCACCTACCTAACCTCTAACAGCGAACATGCTGTTAAGTTTACATTCGTTTCAAAACTCCCAGTGTGAACGGAGAGGCCTGAGCACAGTCACTTCACCATAATTTCCTTTCTTTTACTTTACAGCAGGAGCCTTCATGGCAGCAAATCAATAGATTAGTTACCACAAGTAGATACTGTATGTAGGAACAGGAAAGAGAGAGAGATAAATTGAAGAGTTTTCAAAAAAGAGTGCTCACTCCCCCATGAAGATGTTTTCTCTTCCGTCTTACCGCCACACATTTGATGCTCCAGGCAGTGCTCGGAAACAAAATAGTCATTAAGGAGAGGAACTTGTTTCACGAAACTATGAGAATCCATCACACAATGCGTCCCAGTTCACCCGTCTGTCGTCTCTCACTCTGTCTCTCTTCCTATAAACTTCCATGGCATTTCTGCATAGGTTTAGAAAACTGAGACCACATTGAAAATCTGGGTTTACTGTAAAAAGATTAAAAAAAAAAAACAAAAAAAAAAACAAAGTTTGGGATATTTGGAGAAAAAAAAATACAAATAAAGTTGTAATGTAAATTAATTAAGCATTATAGTAATATCTGTAAATGAAGAGTTCAGATGCAAAAGCCTCTAAGTGCCATTTGAAATTTTCTTCTAGAATGATCGTTTTTATCAAGCTTGTATATTTAAGTTCAGTGATTTCACTTAAATGGCAATGATAATTACCTATTACAGTTCAGGACTGTCTTGAGCATTTTCGGGTAGTGTCACCAAGATCTGACTTTTTTGCATTGGCAAACACTTACAGAGTAAACTGTCATAATGAAAACATGACAAAGCCATTTGACTATCTTGTTCATAAACACTGGTGTTAGGACTTTTCATCTTGACGACACTGAATACTTGCTTTTGAGGAATGAGTTATCAATTTTGAGCTAGTGACACACTTTTGCAGGTTATATCAACTAAGTTTTGCAGCTTGTACTAATTGTTTTGAGAACTGCATTAACTGTTATGCAAATGTAAATAGTAATGTGAGAAATGCACCAAAGCGACTGAGAAAAACTGTAATTGTTATTTAAGTGAAATTACTGAAGTTAAATATACAAGTTTGATAAAAATCATCATTAAAGAAAAAAATTTCAAATGGCATTTAGAACTCTTTAGAACTTTTGCATCTGAACTCTTCAAATATTACTCAGCCATATTTACCGTCACACTAAAACACAATCTGAAAATCTAATCTAGTTTACAATTCCAATTTTTGGGATGAACGGACAGACAGACAGACAGACAGACAGACAGACAGACAGACAGACAGACAGACAGACAGACAGACAGACAGATAGATAGATAGATAGATAGATAGATAGATAGATAGATAGATAGATAGATAGATAGATAGATAGATAGATAGATAGATAGATAGATAGATAGATAGATAGATAGCACTGTGTACATGTTTATAGAGCAGCACATATTGATATTTTTCAAATATAGCCAATCAAAAGAGATTTATTTTAATCCTGCTGTTCTTTGAAAGAGATTATTTGCCAGGGTCTCTGAGCATTTGCCATTCTTCTCAGAGGAAAAGTTCAGCCACCTTTCGAATGCTTAAACACGTCTTGACTGCCTAAAATCTCCTGTTAGCTTTTCTTTCCACTTGGTGGCTTTAAAGCCTCCTCCGCCTGCCAGAAACGGCAGATGGAAACGTGGAGCTGCAAATTCTTGCCATCTCATCTTTCCCCATCTTTTGGAATAGTTGCACAGTCCAACCTCATGGATTTTTTTTCCTCTGCTCAGTCTGTCTTCTGCACTTGAGGACGTTCCAGCATTTAGTGTGTGAGGACACGGGCCAGATGTTGTGTGATGTTTGAACACAACCTCATCGCTGCAACAGCAGAGTGGGCTGTGTGCTTCTATCCTCTTCAACAGGACATCTTTTTTTTTTCCCCCACATAAACAACTGACCTCCATTCACACACCATCTGTCCTCAGCTACGACAGCATGCACTATAATTCACTAAAGGCTGTTTTCCTCTTCAAATATGTACTCAGTGATTGGAGGCATTATGAATTCAATTTAGAAGAGGATGTTTGCTCTGGCATACACAATGCAATTCAAAGCTGTGACTTGTTTTCCCCCTGTGGCTTCACAGTGGGTTACATCAGGTTGGGAAATTCCTGAATCAACTGTGGTCAGCCGGTTTTCTGGATATTGTGACTCACAGTTACGTGTGCTTCACAACAAAGTTTTCTTTTTTTTTTTTTTTTTTTTTTTTGTTCCTATGAACATCTCCTTTTGAGTTCCCCAGAAGAAGAAAAAAAGTCCAAAAGGATTAACTTAAATCGTAATGAAAAAGTTGTGGAGGGACAAAAAATTAGTTTTAACCACAAAGTCAATGCAAAGCTTTTGCTAATTTCTTCAGTATTATCTGAAAAACAGACCAATGAGCCATAACTTAAACAAGCTTTCACTTTGTTGCAAAATAATCCAAAATCACAACTATTATTATGCAAACATCTTACAAGATTATATGTGTAATATAAAATACAGCACATTACAAAATCCCTAAGTCCAGATTTACAGTATATCTTGTCTGTTTAGTAACCATGGCAATTTCGATTGAAATAATGGTAGAATCAAATCTTAAAGGGATTTTCACCTAAAAAAAAAAAAAAAAAAAAAAAAGAAAACTTCTGTCATCATTTACTCATCCAAGTTATTCCCCGTATTTCTTTCTTCTGTGGAACACAAACGATATGTTGAAAAATGAAACAGATAATGTGAAGAATTTTGGTAACCAAAATGTTTTAGTAACCATTTACTTCCAGTTTATGAAAAAAAAAAAAAAAAAAAGTCCATTGTTGTCAGACATGTTTAGAATGATATGGAGCTGAGTAACTGTTGACAAAATCCTGAAGCTACCCCTGTCACCACAATGGGTTAAAATTAAACCAGACAGATGGGGCTAGATTTTCAACACTTTTACTTAACATATAGTGTGAGGGTATACAACTAAGCTCCATTCACCCATAAACCAGACAGCAACACTGAAAGAAAACTGAAACAGATGCGCTTGCACACATAACCAACCATAGTCATTTTGTGCCCCCCTCCCCACACTAGTCAAAACAAAACTAAGAAACAGCTTGAAAGCCACAGAGGACTTTTTACATGTTTTCCCCCTTTGCTGCATTCCTTTCAACTGTAAGAAGCCAGTCATCCCGGCATATTTGCTGCTTGACAGTGACAGAGTATTTCTTCAGTTTACACACACACACTACTGGGAGACTTTCAAAGCGCACGCCGCCGTCAACAGCATTGTTAGCGCCGAGCTCACATTATTCTGCGCATCTCAACCTCACTGCAACACTGCTGTCAATCTACCTCCTCTCCCTATGCCTTATTTATGACACCGGTTGGGGGACATGCTGTGCGGGAGGCTCAGGGGGACACCGTTATCCCAACAATACACTGCATTATTTGTCTAATCAAACAAACAGGAGGCACCTTCATGCAATATGTAGCATAACTCATGCAAACAAATGTGTTTTTTTATTTCATCTGTTGCTCCACACATATATGTCAGGACACAAGGTGTCTCGCTGACATCGACAAAGCTCCAAATAGAGGTGTTAAAGTCACTGCAGATACAAACCTGACAGAGATACCCACACCCCTCCTCTATTATTTCCTAACAAGAGGCATCACAGCTGAGGGTAATAGCTAACCTTTCAAGTGACCACTTAAATTTCTACCAAACACATCCTTTAAGGCTCACATCATTACAACTTTGTTAAAGAGAAGCCATGAACCAAGCCAACCAGCGATAAGGTGAATCTCAACATTACACACTTTTAAAAGCAAAAGAGAATATCTGACCAAAACGAACACAAAAGGAACAACATTGTGTTAATGGCTTTAGTGAGGGAAAATGACATCATCAAATCGAATGCCAGCACCTCAAATGACAATAACGTTTGGCCAGCTTTTTGTGTCAATTGTTAAAACAAAACATCACTGTAACAGGGTTCGTTGTCATGGGAAGGAGGCGGCGGGAACCGGCGAACATTAAACTATTTAATAATAAAATAAACAAATACAAAAATGAAAGTATGAGCCCCTCACGGACGACTGTTGGCCACAGAAGCAAAACACAACATAAAATCAGACCTGTTCCTCTCTCCCTCCGCACTGTGGTTGGTTGCTCCTCCTTTATGCTTCCACTCCTCCGTGGGAGATGCGAGACCGGGCCGTCTCACAGATGTCGTTTATCTTTAATCACGCCACCGGGCTCATGCCGCTCTCTCATGTCCCTCGCCCTCGTCCTGCTCACCACAATCACACCTAGTGGAGCCTAAAAACATATTTAAATGTATGCGTAAAACACACACCCACCCCCACCCCTAACAATAACTAATTAACTCTGGTATGCTAACAAGGCACAATAATTAATTAAATTACTTGTAAAATAAATAAATATTAACCAATTCCCTTAAACTATTCGATCTGACAAATCTTTACACATGTTAAAACAATATCTTTTAAATTCATATGGCGAGCTTTCTTAAATGGGTTATTGTCTATGTGTGTGTATGTGATGCGGATATGTTTATTTCTGCTATCTTTTTGTGTTTTTTAGTTCGTGATTATGAAGCATTGGGCAATGTGAGTATTACTGTGCTATATAAATAAAAATAAATACACAAACAAACAATTAAATAAAACAATTAAATAAATAGGAAATAAAAGCCTCACAGATATCACAGGTATTTAGCCGCCTTTCCACTGGACACGACATTCGCATATGATTGTCGCATTTCGCCCCCTAGTGTCATGTCACTTTGAAATTGGTCGTGAAGCAACCATTACCCTCGGATATTCACAATGGTAAAATGAATGATTTTAATTAATGTAATGCATGCATGATTTTATAGAGCTAATCAATATAAATATAGATTTAATTATTATAAAATACTTTTTTCTGCTATAGTTAATAACCAACATTTTACAGAAAGAACGTTTACAGAAAAACATTAAAGAGTTAAAATATTGGTAATTATAGCCTCGCGCTGACGAGCTCATAGTTTTTATTAGAATACATCACTTCCTGTTGGCCGGTCGCATACATTCTAGCCGCAGAAGTTCAGATATTTCAACGGATCCGAATTTTCCGCATGCGCATATGATCGGAACTCCCCGCAGCTCCCGTACGACTCTCCATTAGAAATGAATGACTTCCGGTCCGACGGCGGTCGTTTGTCGTGTGCAGTGGAATAACATTTATGTAGCCTAGCTAATTAAGCAAAAAGAAAGAGTCTAAATAATAATAATAATAATAATAATAATAAAACATTATACATACTTAAAGGGTAACTATAGTGACCTGTAAGACTGGGGGGGCTTTATTAATGCTGTTCATTGATTCAAGTATTTTTTATTTATTTATTTTTTTACATTTGGGTATAAAGTGTTTTAATTCTACAATATATGGCGTAAAAACGTCTAACTGCTGCCCTCTTCAGGTTGAACGGTAGCTACTGCAGTTGAATTTTCCGATCGGATGTTGTGGTGCCGCGTGACGTAAGCAGGCACCAGGTCCCCACACCCTTGCCTACAGAGATGCACACCCTACCCACAATTCGTGGTTTCGCAAGTCTGTGTCAACTAAGAAATGTTCAGGTAAGTTGCACCTGGCTGACTGCGATTGCTAAATGTGGCTGGCTGACTCAAGGCTTTGCTCAAGAGTACAGACAGATGGCTAATAATATACCCAATATATAACAGTCTGTGTTTACTCAGTGTGTGTCAGCCGTGATTTTGGTTCACTCCCTTTAATTAAAGGTGCTTTCTGATGCACTGTGCAATGTGGTAGGGTTTGAGTGTGAAAACAAAAGTAACTGATGCGAGTGTTGGGGTCGTGGTGGAGGCTTACAGCATAGATACAGTGTATGCAAAACACTCATAACGCATGTTTAAGATTCCAAATCTTTACTTAATTGTAGTTGCAGTAACAGTATAATCAACAGTATACGATTTTTGTTACAGTAATTAGTGTACAACATCTGCATATATTCTATAGATTTATAAAAATAGCTGTAGCCTACTTTAATTCTTAATTGAATACTTTGATTCTTAAGGAGATTACTAAAAATGTTGTACCAAACATGTATGAATTCGCAAAAGATATTATGAAAAATGTTTTGTAGCCAATACAGGAAAGCTAAACAGGTCCAAAGTTGCTTGAATATCATCGTATCATCGTTCTTCAAAATATAATTTAGAGGTTTGGAAGAACATGAGCAGGATTTTCACAGGCCTGGTTCATTCAAGGTACTACTATACAGCAATGTTATCGATAAATCACTTACAATATAAGCCACACAGTATACTGCAATAAACACCTTTACAAATTAGAAATACAGTACCATTTAAAAATTTGTGATTGGTAAGATTTGTTTAATATATATATATATATATATATATATATATATATATATATTTTAAGAAGTCTATTATGCTCACCCAGGTTGGATTTATTTGATCAAAAATTCAGTAAAACCAGTACTATTGTTTAAAATTTGTGCAATTTAAAATAACTATTTTAACACATTACAGTATTCCTATGATGGCAAAGTTACATTTTCAGCAGCTGATTTAAATAATTCAAATATGCTGATTTGGTGCTCAAGAAAGATTTGTTATCATCAATGTTGAAAAAAAAAACACATTTATTATAAATGAATTGAATTTAAACCTGAGTATCCCTTTAATATGTATTGTTAATTCCACTTATGATGTTTTCATATGGGAACAAAAATAAGTAATTATTTTTTTTATTTAAATACACCCGTGCTACTTCCAGCCTTCCTACTGTACATGCTTGTATGCAGACTCCTGCTTATGGATGCCTGCCAAGCAGTTACATAAAATCGATGAGAACTTAGTCAATAGCCCTTCAGATGGATGGTAACAGAATGTGTTCCTTATTTTCTGATTATTCTAGATTAATCTATCCACCCATTTCTCCTGCTTATTCATCACAGAGAAGACTGATGCTGCGTTAGACGAAAGATCTGGAAGAATAATGTTTGTAAATGACATTCTTAGTGATTCAAGACTCATGGTCTCATGAAATTCAGCCCGAGGCCCAGCTATCTTCTCATACTGGCAAAGCCTGAAGACTACAGCATTCAGTTTTGTTCTTACTGGAGCTCCGTAATTGAATATGCGCCTGACATCAAACAGCTCTGATCTAGGGGGTTGAAATTGCCATCTGGATCCATAGCGCTGCTCTTCAGCTCTGCTGCTCTGAAATCTCGCTGAGAAGACAAGATAACCCAAAGATCAGCCACTTATCAAATGGCTAGACCATCTTCTCTGTTCTCTAACAGCAAATGATTTGAGTTTAAACGGGTAATAAGAGTATTTTTGATCCTGTGCAGTGATATTATTAAGAGCACAGTATGAGTAATGTATGTAGTCTTGTAGGTACCGGTTGACTATGAAAGCCACTATGAAATGCAGAGCCATGAAAGAGCGGTAACGGCATGTTTCAAAATTATGTGCAGTAGAGCAGGAAGTTTGACAGGATCTTTAGAGGAGCAGAACACTGGAATGCTGGGAAGGTTTATGGCTTCACCTCACCCTAGGCTGACACTCACGCGCCTCGCCCACATTTCTGATTCAGCCCTAAGGGTGGATGTGGATGTGTGTGTGTGTGTGTGTGTGTGTGTGTGTGTGTGTGTGTGTAAGGGGTTACAGATATGTCAAGGAACAAACTTTGCCCTACCCTAAATCTGTACTTTCAGCACCAGATGTCTAGAGAGGATGTATTCTGAGCACAAACCAACATGCCTGTACACAAACACTCCCACCACAAAACATCCAGGACACACATGGCCAAACTCACCAACACGGCTGTTTGTGAGGAATGTTCCCAGGAAGGGTTTGCACAGCCATGGATGGTATCAGGACAGACGCAATTGATTTTTTTTTTTCACAAATAAAAACAAGGCCGAAAAAAGAAAAATATATATATAAAAATCATTCTAATGCAAATGAACGCTGTTCTTTCTATTCATTAAAGATTAAAGATTTTCACGAAAATATTAGACAGCACAACTGTTTTCAACATTGATAATATAATGAATGTTTCTTGATCACTAAATGAGGTTAAATTGGTTAAATAAATGCAACTTTTAAGGGAAAGATATAAAATAAATAAAAAATCTTACCGACCACAAACTTTTGAATAGAAAATAAGATATAAAGCAAATAATTAAAAAAGTTCAAAGTAATAATGTGAAAACATTATCTAAAAAAAAAAACAAATCAAAAAAAAAAAAAAAACATTTGACAAAAACTGCATTAAAACAATGGTAAATGACCATTACCATTTACCATTAAAACAATGATGGGGAAAGCACCCAAGGGACAGTTGATGTACCCTATTGACAATTCCCTATTGAAGTCAATGCTGGGGCCAATCAACTGTTTGGTTAAAATATCTTCAACACATCTTATTTTGTGTTTAGCAGAAGAAAGAAAATGAATATAGGTTTGGAATAACTTGAGGGTGGTTAAATAATGACATAATTTATATATTTGGGCTAACTATCCCTTTACAGTAATGTAAGGCATTTTAATCTCATAATTCTGTGACTTAGTAATTTTGACTTTATTCTCAAAATATTACTTAAATGTTGTAATGTTAAAAATCCATTCTTTTGAGGTCTCTATATTAAAAATCCAAGAAAAAGCCAAAAAGAGACTACATTTTCTATTTCTTTGGCCTTTGTGGTTTAATAGTTATTCAGCTGCCAGCAGAGCACTGGCATAGTGCATCAACACCAACACATACCAGCCTCCTCAGCTGGCGTTGTGCCTAGCACTGAAGTGTTTCGAGGAATGGGTGGAGGGGGTGTGATGAAATGGGATGGGTGCGCATTTTCCCCTTCACTTGCCAAAGTGGGGTTAATGCCCAAAAAGGACAGAGTTGTGTGTGTGTGTGTGTGTGTGTGTGTGTGTGTGTGTGTGTGTGTGTGTGTGTGTGTGTTGATGTGAGCAATGCTAGTACACTGTAGGAAAACTAGGTCAGTAGCGAGGGCTCTCTGGAAGTGGATGTGAACTTGTCACCTCTGATTCCATTAGAGGGACTGAACTTGGTGGGAGAGGGAGAGGATATAAGGTCAAGAGATGGTTTGGTCACTGTGCCATTTCACCAAGAGGAAAACAAACACTGAAATCCAGCAGAAGGCACAACCTCAGATGAACGTTAATGGACAGGAGAATA